TAAATATAATGATTCAGAATAAAATGTCCATAAATAACTAGTATTTTGTGATGAAATGCAAAAAACTCATAAAGAGCTGGTATGTTATGAGCAAAAACTTTTTACTTTCACATATTTAAAATTTGTTAAATACAAAATTTACTAGTTTTCTTTCATAAAAATATTAGTATAACACGTTTTCAATTTTAGTTACAAACATTTATGTATTTTACATAAATATAATGATTCAGAATAAAATGCCCATAAATAACTAGTATTTTGTTGATATAATGCAAAAAAATCATAAAGAGCAGGTATGTTATGGGCAATATGTTTTTTACTTTCACAAAAATCAGTTTATATTAAATACAGGACAATCAGTTTACCTTTCATAAAAATATTAGTGTAACAATTTTTCAATTTTAGCTACAAACATTTGTGTATTTTACATAAATGTAATGATTCAGAGTAAAATGCCCATAAATAGATAGTATTTTGTTGATGTAATGCCCACAATCGGGAGAATCAATTGGAATCCACTGTTCCTCAGTCTTGAACGCTTTACGTAAAGTAGAGATATTTGTATTCAATTAAATGTGAAACAGGCAACAATCTGTCTTCCCATGAACCCAGTTTCCACAAATGTTAATATTTTACTAATATAACAATTAAAATCAATTTCAATAATTCAAATTTAGTAGGTTATATAAAAGTTGTTAGAAAAGTGAGAAACCAAAAGAAAAATAACTCAAATTTATTAAAAGTCCAAAAAGGATTCAGTACTTCAGCTCTAAAAGTCCTCCAAATGACTATATATTAGAACAGCTATAATCAAAATAGATTACATAATTAAAAAACTTAATATTTCAAACATTTATTTTCTTAAGTTTCACTTCTTAAAGGCTCTCAACTCGTTATTCAATAATGACCATATGTTGCTTCAAAGCCAAGCATGGCTTTGTTTAGTACTGCTTACATTTCCTCTTCGGTGTTTTATTCATAGGCCCATTATACTTAAGTTAGTTCCGTGACACCTCAATACATTTTCACCTTCTGCAGTACGCAACATTTCCAAATCGCCCACGCCTGTGATAGGTCACCACTTACTTTTGTAGAAATATTTCCTTCATCGTCCGTACATGTCAGTTTAAAACGTGCCGGTTTCTTTGCCATATTCTTTACCTTTTCACACCTGTCTTGGATTACACTACAGAATTTACCGGGTGAATTCTTACATTGTGATGGAAAAAAAAATGATTCTACAACGAGGGCGTATTGTGAATGATTTTCTGGAATTGGGGTCTTCGCATTCTCAAAATGCGAGCTCGTACTAAGCTCCACCGCCAACACTCCATTTCGAAAAAAAAAGACAAAAGCAAACAGACGAAGCAGAAGTGCCTTTTATAGCTGGAATGTGTAGAAAAACACAGAATTCGGAATTGTACGTAAAAGCACAACAAAGAAAACAGAGGTGGTTTCTGCACATCGAAGCATCCAAGGACCGGAGCTGAGCGGAGCTTCCAAAGACTGGTTCGCGCGTGCCGCTTGCCAAAAATTGTCCACAATTTCAGTCCCAACTCTCCAACAGCATAAAGGTTAGGCTTTTTCACTTGCAATGCCTCAGTAATAGCATTTTAAGTTTAATTAATACTTGAATACTTGAATCCAAGACAAGTTCAGATTTGTGGTGAAATTTGGGTTTAAATTTGACGTGGGTTGTGCTTTTTTTTGCATTTTTTGTGGTGGATTTGAGGATAAACGTTAGATGTTTTTCGAATTCGTACAATGTTTGGACTCTCCAATGTAGGAGCAGTTTATTTGCCGTTTCTGCAATTAGTGCAGGAAAAGCATGATCCGAGGTCAGATAAGACTCAACACAGACGGATCCGAACTCGGATCTATTGGATCCGAGCTCGGATCCAAAGTTGTTCACCCGGATCCGAGGGCTCGTCTGATCATCCGTTGAGACGGATCCGAACCTTGTTGGATCCGAAGGATGCCATAAATTATCCGAGCTCGGATCTTTGCATTTCATAATACAATGCGAGGTGTGGTATTTTTTTTTTTTTTTGGGATGCCGTAGTTCGAAAATTCGAGCTCCGTGAGTTCAGTTTTGGTGAATGCGAAGACCCTTTGGTACGTAGTCCCATTTGTACGTAGTCCCATGCTCAAAATGCCCCATTTGTAGAATTCTTTTAAAATTCATCATAATTTTTTTTTGTAAATCTATTGCGCAACTATTAGTTTTGGTCGAAACACTATCTACATTGGACAGTGTATGTTTTGCAATTGGAGCTTAGAAATTTGGGGTGTAGTTTATAGATTGGAGCTTTTGCATTTCATGGATATTTGGATTGTGAGCCCCTTTATTGGGAGACTATGTCGATATTTTTGTAGATATTTCTTTGTGAGGGCAACTGACTATTAGGTAATTTATTTTTATACAACTACCATTCCTTATGCATAAGGCTTAATTCGGATTTGATACAAGCCATTAGCTAATTTATGTTATATTACAACTATGGATATTTTCGGTCACTTCGTTGAGACGATGGTTTGTTTAATTTTGTTTAAGTAGAAAAGGGCGGTAGAACATGAAATACCGATTTATTTTAAGGCGAATTGATGGATTGAAATTCACTGACCAACCTTGTAATGTTTTTTGGTATTGGCAAAATCTATAATGCTAAAAAAGTGGCAAAATAAGTTACAGGGAAAAACATTAATTTTGTAAGATTCATTGGTATAATATCACATCATTGTCAATGTGGATCTTGTTATGCGGTGTGAATGTGGAGCCCAAATATATATAACTTCCGGTACAATTCTTACGCTTGTACATTTCTTACCCTGTTTGGATTTGCAGATAGAGAGTTTTAGTCTATTTTTAAGGGAGGCTCTGTCCAATTTTTCCAAAAACTTCGTTCGGAGTTTTAGACTATTCGTATCGTCATTTATAGTATATTTCATACATGTTTTCAATTTTTTCATAAACATCTGGATCGAAATTAGTCTATTTAATAGTTCCAATTTCGACCTAGAGTCCACCCTCTTTCATTTGTTTGGACCGTTGGACTACTAATTTTTATTTATTGTCCAAAAAATAGGGATACATTTCACAGACATATCTGTAGAAAGGCCTCTGCGGGTAAACCTATATTGGGGAGGACAAATACATTACGAGGGTGACTTCGTTTGTTATTTGCCTCGTACTTCCAACCAGACATTCACTTTGAGGCATAGAATTGGATACGGGGAGTTGGTTGACAGGATTTACCACTATATTGGGGTCGATAAAGGAGTGTTCAAGCTGAAATTGTTTCTTCGTCAACCGTTGGAGAGTTCCAAATATACTGTTTCCGCAGTGGTGGATGATGAAACTCTTGATCAAAAACATTTATTTGATACAAAAGGAAAAACACTTAATATTTTATTCACAACAAATACTCAACACCTTACATGTTAACAATTTCATTCTATTTTTACATTGATCTATAAAATAGAAAGAACATTGATCTATGAGATAGAAAGAACTATCATGTGTACTTTTTCCACCATTTAAATGTATTATAATTAAATAACGTATTTTCAACCGTACAATTACCAATTTTTGTTATTATAAAAGAATTATGCATGTATAGTAAATTATATTAACAAGATTATTGTTAATCTGATTTTGTTTTAGCTCATATTTGATGACTTTAGCCAGGTGCAAGTTCAAAAATAAATAAAATATTATTCCTCTAAACATTACAGATTTTTAAACAAAATTTCTCTAACCTTTCTCCGAAAAATAAGATTTTCGTACAGATTTTAAAATAACATTTTACTACCGACACCATTTTAGTAAAGGCAATTTCTACAAAACAAACAATATTTACATTTACTTTTAAATTTTTTATGGAGCTCGTAGATATCATTTTAAATTTTTTTCCTAACATTTTTTAAATTAATTTTCTAAAAGTCATACTTATAAATGCGAAATCTAACAAAAAAGTTAAATACAATTTTTGCAGGTCAAATTTAACAAATGCGAGCTATTTGCAAAATTTTAAATATTTGCAACATTTTTTAAAACAAAAATTAGAAGCTTTCTGCAAATAATTCCCTACCTCTCAAAAAATACCAAAAAAAAAAAAAAGATAAGAGCTCGCATTTGCTTTCTGGAAATAATTCCCTAGCTCTTAAAAAAGGGAAAAAAAAAATTGAGAAGGAATGCGAGCTCAATAAGCAGAGCTCGCATTTCACAAATGCGAAGACCCCCGGACGGAAATTAATCCCAAAATCACCCCTTTTGTAGAATTTTTTTAAAATTCATCACAATGTTGGAAATTTCTCTGTAAATTTATTGGCAAGTTTTATGAGTGACGCATTCTCTTTAGTGGCCCAGAATCTCAATGAAATCAGGAAATCAAGTTTAAGAAAGAAAAAGAAACTGACAATCAAAAAAAGGCAGAGGTAGATGATGGAAAATCAAGTTGAAGATTGAGATAGGAATCTGACATCCTTTTTTTTCCCCTCTATAAAGGTAACTTGGTTATGTTGTGTTGAAAATATGCTAAAGGTAACTTGTTATCGTGAAATCCCCTACCCAGTGCTTGAAAAGCAGAGTTAAAGAACATACGATTGGAATCATCATTTACGTACAAACTGAATATAGATTTCTTGTAAAGTCATTGATTCCTTACCTACAGACAAGATATACGGTCTTTGCATTAGCCACTTCTGCTTTATAAAAATGTGTAGAAAAACAGATGCAGGTATTAATCTGGCTTTGCAACTGCACTTGAAATATAAGAGCCTCTCCCCCATTTCTTGTTCTTCTTACTCTTCTATTGAGAAGCAAAGCTCTCATAGATTAGATGGCAGACCCTGTTATCTCTCTCGTTGTTGAGAGAACTGGTGATCTGCTGATTCAAAAAATTGTTTTCCTGAAAGGTGTTCGAGGCCAAGTTGAGAGACTTCAAAATGATCTGGTCCGGATGCGGTGTTTCCTGAAAGATGCTGATCAGAAGGCAAGATGAAGATGCGAGGATCCGCAACTGGGTTTCTGAAATCAGAGCCGCTGCCTACGATGCGGAGGATATCATTGAGATATTTGCCAGCAAAATTGAAAGTATAAGAGATAAGGGATTTGTGACTAGATTGGCATATTATCCCTGGCGGATTGTGAGCCTTAACAAGATCGGTAAAGAGATTGAGTCCTTACAGACAAGGCTCGATAACATAGCCGCTAGCCGCGAAAAGTTTGGTATCAAAAAATCTTGGAGAGGGAACGAGTACACATGGAGAAGAGCTTCAACGGCTCCGGCGGTCCTCTCCTCTCAGCGAGGACAAGGATATTGTGGGCTTCGAGGAGATGACAAAATCCCTGGTGACAGAACTCTTGAAAGAGGACAGAAACCGCCGCGTGGTTTCAATCATTGGCATGGGAGGTGCAGGTAAGACAACTCTAGCCAAAAAAGTTTATAACCATGCTGACCTCATGACTAGATTCAACTGCCGTGCTTGGGTATGCGTCTCTTCAAGCTACAATCACAAAGAGACGCTGAGGACAATCATAAAGCAATTACATCCGATGACTAATGAGCTACTTGACATGTTGGAAAAGATGCAGGAGCAGGACTTGGAACAAAGGCTCTATCAAGATCTACAAGATAAACGTTATCTTGTGGTACTTGATGATGTATGGGAGGAAGAAGCGTGGGATTGTCTAGCCAGGAATGCCTTTCCTGATAGTAGCACATCAAGTAGATTGCTACTTACAAGTCGCAATCGGGATGTTGCCGTACACGCAGATGCTCTTAGCATCCCACATGAGCTGAAAACATTGGGGAAGGAGCATAGCTGGCAGTTGTTTCTCAGAAAGGCCTTAGCCCACGGGGATAATGCTGGGTGTCCTTCGGATTTGGAAGAAGTGGGCAGAGAGATTGCAAGGAGATGTGCTGGTCTGCCACTGGCCATCACAGTTGTAGGTGGGCTGCTACTGGGCAAGAAAGAGTTGAAGAGTGAATGGAGAAAGTTCTCAACAGCTTCAACAGAAACCTCTCAAGGAGCCAGAGTGGAGTATCGGCAATTCTGGAATTAAGTTATGCAGATCTTCCTCCCAATATGAAATTTTGCTTTTTGTATTTGGGTTTGTTTCCCGAAGCCTCCGTGATTTCTGTGCCCAAGTTGATCCATATGTGGGTTGCAGAGGGAATAATGCAGAAAAGAGATGCAGAAAATTTGGAGGAAACTGCAGCATATGATGATGTGGAACGACTTTGTGGCAGGAATATGGTCCAGGTGGTGGAAACGACTGTTGATGAGAGGATTAAAAGCTGCAGAATCCATGATTTACTGCGAGAGGTTGCAATCAGGAAGGCAGAGGATGAAAATTTTTTTCAGATCCATGACACCAGAGATGGTAAAATATCAGCCAAATCCAGGTACCTTGCTGTTCATAGTCTCCCTTTGGATAAAAACTACTATTTTGGGACTTCGATCCCTCCTCTCCGGTCTTTGCTCTTTTTCAATGTCCACGATTACAGGGAAGGCATTAGTCTTAGTTTCAAAAGTTTCAGAAAGCTTAGGATGCTAGACCTTGAGAATGTTAAGATGGGTTATAATTTGCCAAAAGGAATTGGTGAAGTCAGGCTTCTAAGATACCTCGGTTTAAGAGGCACATCCATTCGCAGGCTCCCTCATTCCTTCGGTTGCTTGCGCAACCTACAAACTCTTGACATACGGAACTCTTACCCAGTGAGAGTTTCAAATTTCATTTGGAAGCTTGAAAGTTTACGGCATCTATATGCGTATGATATGAAATGTGATGTGCCTCTTAAGATTGAAGGATTGAGAAATCTCCAGACTCTGTCACGCGTACGCTTTGATGACATTATGCATAATAACATGAAAACTTTGACAAGTCTTCAGAAACTGGGGATTTGGGTGGATGACAGGTCAAACATAGACAAACTCTGCACGCATTTATCTGAGGTTGGAAGCCTAAAGACGTTACATCTTTATTCTATTGAAGGAAGAGGATTCTGGTTGCCGCCTCTATATGGACTTTCTAAGCTCCATCAAGTAACAGAGCTTAAGCTATCCGGGCAGTGGAAAATGCTACCTCCTGATTTCCCTCCAAATCTCTCTCGCTTGTCTTTGAAAGACATGTCACTCTGGAATGACCCAATGCCAGTACTAGAGAAGTTGGGACAGCTGTCGTTCCTCAAAATGAAAGATGCATACAAGGAACAACAGCTAGTCATTTCTGGGCATGGTTTCACCAATTGAAATTCCTTGAGCTCAATGGCCTATCTGATTTGCGTGAAATAAAGGCGGAGAAAGGTGCATTGCCACAGCTCCGGTGCCTGAGAATCAGGAAGTGCGGCAAATGTCGGAAGTTGCCGGAAGTGCCGCCTACATGTACTCTTGATGTAATTCATGAGTGGGGGGTTTCTGCGGGTCTGCTACTGCTTCCATTGCTTCCATTCTTGTGCCATATCTTGTAGTGATTAATAAAATTATTTCAAGTTTTTATCGAAATATATAGATAAAAAGAATGTTTCCGTATTTGTTTTCCCCAATTCACAAGCTTTTTAAGTCCTTTGTTTTTTTTTTTTAAATTATTTGAAATCTCACACTTCAATAATGCTTGCTTTGTTAATTGTCCCACTATTAAACAAGGAATGACTCTTTTGTTATTATAATGATATTTTGGGCAACTAACAGTGCCTACACCTATACCTTATAGGATTTGTCTCTCCATAAACTGACAAGTAGTAATTTAAAAAAAAAAAAAAACAAAACAGTTCAAGTCTTCAGTGGGCCTCAAAAGTCCTGATAGTGAACTCCTGGGATCTGTAAATGTCGAAATCAATAAAAATATCTAGAGGTATTTGGTTGATTCTAATTTTTCCCGTGCTGTCCAAACTGAAAAAGAGAATAAGGAAATAAAAGGCCCTATTCGTGTATTGGAAGAGAAAAAGGAATGAGGTTGGCAAACAAATCAAGGAATTCGTCGCCTATAAAGTGAGGATTGATTGCTTCCTAAATACTACTCACTATGCATATAACATGTTAAAAATAAAAAACTAAACTGGTCAATTTTGAGTTTGTAAATGGATACCTTATTAAACTTGGTCTTGAACCATGATTTGAAAAAAAAATTATTTACTTGCATCACAAATACAATTTCTATCATACCTTTTTATTTTACATATATCACATTATAAAAAATACTACAGTAATTATTTCAAATAATCTCATACACAAGTCTATGTACTTCTACCTTTATACTCTCATTTATTTATTCTCTCTACTGAGCGGCCCCGCTTCACCTTATATTGTACTATTGTCTAAACTTCAGTGCAGTGATTAATAAAATTAGTTCTAGTTTTTATCAAAATATATAAATAAAAGGAATCTTTATAACAGTCCCCATGGCTCGTCAATTTTCACGACCAAACCCTCGCCGGCTCGATTCAATCGACTACCAATGGGGTTAAGCTCCGTAGTACAGCAATGGCCGTTGGATACTTGTCCAAACGACACCAAATCCAGTATTTCATGTACCCCTCAATTATCATAGTAAAACAGTGGACAGTCACATATAATACAAAAGGGGTGAGGGCGATCAAGTACACCCTCACTTTAATCGGTTTCAACGGTGCACATAAGCATTCAAGGCATCACGTTCAAGTATAACAAAGCCATATAGTAACAAGCAAGTGAGTAGTACACTCACCAAGCAAACAAATGATATTTCATACACCTCCGCCCAAAGAGCGTCTTGAACCAGCGTCACGTCCTAAAACATTCAAATAAGCACAATAAGACATTGAATTTTTGACCTAGTTACACTACAAACTGGACTGAGTGGCCTTATTTAACATTGTAGCCCTTTCTTTTAACTTCAAAACGGTGTATATTGTACCTCCATCCGATAATCGTCCAAACAGAAAAAGGGAATAAGGAAACAAAAGCCTCTGTTCAGGTACTAGAAGAGAAGAAAAGAACGAATTTAACAAACAAATCAAGGAATTCATCCCATATAGAGTGTTGGTCCATCTGAAATTGAGGATTGATTGCTTCCTATATCTACTCAGTATACACAAGAAGTAAAAGAAAGAAAACAAATTTAAACGTGCGAAAAGGAAATAACAAGCTGTTCAACGAAGTTATTTGGGATAAATTTTCAAGGGGAAAAAAATTACTGAAGGGAAAATTTCTGAATACGGGCACAAGTGCAGCCTATTTATTATGAAAGGCATTTATAATAATTCTTATGCACAATTTTTTTTTTCTTGTGTAGTAGTAATACATTTTTTACAAAAATCTATACAAATGTCATATATAATAGATAGTCCACTGTCTATAAGTTTGTCACTTTTAATTTTTTCTGATTACATAACATGTATTACCTTAAAGGTAATGTATATACTTCACGGAAAAGCCAAGCATAATTTTGCTTAAAAAGAAATTTTTATTTGTTTTTTTTTGAATTACTGGAATGAAAAGAACATTATAAAAAGTAGGTTTAATTACAAAAACTCCCCTTAGAATTTGGTCAATTTTTTTTTTAAGAATTTGGTCATAGTTGTAGGTTACATGTAAAGTTTATTTCTTCTCACTTTACCTCCCATCTCAGTCTAACCCATCAAGTTAACTGTCAAAATAGTTGAGTTGATGAAAATGCCCTTTTACATGGTTTAGAAGGAAAGACCTTAAGATTTTTGGATGTTCAAGTTACAAGATATGATTTTTACCATAGAATAATTTTTTTTATCTTTAGGATAAAATAAAGTGGCATATTAATATTTTTTTCTATCCAAATCATCATGCATGTAATTAATTTAAGTGGAGAGACCTTGAATTTTGCGAAAAGGAAGAAAATTATATGTTGTATGTTCATTGAAATGCCTAATCAAATCTTCTTTCTACCTTCGATCAAATGACTGGATAAATTATTGAAAAAATTGATCATAAGTATGCAAATATTGTTTTTAAAAAATATTTTCAATTTCAAGTCAAGATATATACCTCATGTTATGGGAAAAAAAAAGGATTCCAAACTTGAATGATATCTCATGTATCTAGAGCCTCTCGTGTTGCACTAACATAAGGTGTAGCCCTGAATCTCAATGCAGAGCAGGGCAATCTAGTTGAAGAAAGAGAAAATGCGCAAAAATGGAGAAAATGATAGCGCTTCTTGCCATTTTGCTCCATGTTATTTATAGCAGTATTTTTATCGTATTCAATTAGGGAAAACGGAATGTTTGCTGAAATTGAACTAAACAAGTAAACATCAGTTATAAATAGTTTAAATTAGATTGGTGTATATTTACTTATTCACGTAGTAATGACATTAATGCATTATAAAAGGAAACCTAGGACAAAAGAATCATTGGATTTCATCATTATCATTATCATTACTATATAAAATGTATGAATTTTAGCATTAAAGAGTGTAAGCACTTTTTTAGTTTAGTTTTTGTTAGCACCAAATTACCCTTATATCTTTAATTAAAATTATTGCATTTCAATGTGGCACTAATTCAAAGAAATAAAACAATCCAATTGATTACATTTCAATAGTATTGGTGATTATAATTAAAAATTGCTCATTATAAACTATTTACCTACCCTTGGACTCCATCTCCAATTATTATACGTATCAAAATTTCTTAATCGAAACATGAAAAATTTCTCATTAGTCATTAGTTGAGATTGTCGAAAAAAAATCAATGTAATACTCTCTTAAAAAAAGAGAGAGAGAAACGTACAAGAAGAAGAAATCCCTTATTCATCCATATATCTTTATACAAATATCACAAACAAATTTCACAATTATGCACTTTATACCAATGGGATAATGTTAGAAGCCTCCCTTGAGGTTTCTCCTAATATCACTTGGAACCCCTGAGCTTTTAAAAATATCACTTACCTTCCCTAATAATTATGAAAAGACTATATTAACCTTACTTGACGCATAATTCACATATCAAATAAATAGAACTCACATATAAAAAAAAAAAGAAACGAAAGTCACTTTCTTCTCTTTTCCTTTTCTCCATCATTTTCTCTTACTCATTTTTTGGATGACTATGCAATATTTTATTTGTAAATTATAATAAATTAAATTTTATTTTTCTTTTACTTTTTGTGATTGTGATAAAGTGAGTTATGATTTATTTACTTATTTTGAATTAATTTTTATAATGATTGGTACAATTTAATGATTTAGTTAAGGGTTGAGAAGATATTAAAAAAAATATAAAGTTTATATGAAATTAGTTTTGAGCAGATAGAGTTCAATTGTTGCAAGTGTATTTGTGTTCAAATATCTTTTTTACTTTTCAAATTTATAGTTTTATGGGATATAGCATTATGATGTGATAGTACTACAAGAGATTATTTTTTAAGTGATGGTTTTCTTGAAGTGAATAAGTGAATATAGTGATTTAGGAATATTTTTATTTAGCAAGTAAAAGCGCGCGCAATTTAGGGTTTTTTAAAATTTTGTTACACAAATAACAAAAGTAAGGGGATATAAAATGATATTTTTAAAACTTGAGGGGTGTCAAATTGGGGGTCATCTTTAGCTGGAGGGTTTCAAGTTTCAACTAACCACGTAATATTGAGCAGGTTGGTGGGGCTGGATGGTGTCTAGTCGAATAAAACTGGAGTTTGGTTCCTGATGTCGTAAATGACAGTCATCAAACCTCCATGATCAGGCACTGTGAAGCTACTGATCAGCGCCTTTTTCCTCGTGTTTTGGGTTTCTTTCTGCCTGTGAGTAAGGGTATTGGTTTCTTTCATGTAGGTAAATTTTTACTTCAGTTCAGGTGCTGAAGCATTGGGCTGGGGCCTGTTTGCCCAAAGTAAGCTATCAGGGATCTTGGTTTCGTGTCTTCCAAATAAAGAAGCTTGTGTCTTCCAAATATTTTTTAGAATATCAAGTCATTCCCATGCGTTCTGCGAATGTGGCGCGTAACGTGCTGAGAGTGCGACGTGGCGCATGCCGGATCCGTAATCCGAACCACTGGACCCAAGTCATGTGGGGTTGAACCTGTGACTGCATTTTCTCTTTAGAATCTCTTCTGTGATTTGGTCGAAAGTTATTTAACATCTTTTCTACCTTTCAATAGATTAAATGTGTATTTCCCTCTCTCTTTTCCCTGTTATAGGACCGTTTGTAATAAATGTTACACTTGAATTTGTATCCAAAGAAAAAATAACCGTTTGTAACAATGTTGTACGTGAATTTGTATCCAAAAAAAAAATAGAAAACA